CCCAAACCCCAAACCCCAAACCCCAAACCCTAAACCCTAAACCCTAAACCCTAAACCCTAAACCCTCACGGGTGGTTTTGCGGGAGTTGAAGACAATCCAAAACCTCGCGTTTTCGTGCAGAAGTTCTTTTATTTTTGTTTTGTCTTTCCATCCTTTTTTTAAAAAGTTGCTTTCATCATAAAGGGTTTTCATGTTGGTTTTGGTGAGTTCAAAAAGAGGGTTTAGCAGCCCCAAACCCTCAAACCCTAAACCCTCAAACCCTAAACCCTCAAACCCTAAACCCTCAAACCCTAAACCCTCGCCGCCTCCCAGCGCCGCGCTGCTGCACTCAAACACCCCGCAAACAACTTCGCTGGCGCCCCCCGGGGGCCCCCGAGGGTTTAGGGTTTGGGGTTTAGGGTTTAGGGTTTGGGGGTTAGGGTTTAGGGTTTGGGGTTCAGGGTTTAGGGTTTGGGGGTTAGGGTTTGGGGTTTTCGAGGGTTTAACGACGAAGCTGAAGTGCGCGGCGGGCAGCACCGGCAGCAGCTGGTTTGCTGCTTTCACAGTTTGTGCTGTTGCTGCTGCTGCTGCTGCTGCTGCAGCAGCAGCAGCAGCAGCAGCAGCAGCTGCTGCTGCTGCTGCTTTTTTATTTCTTTTCTCTTTTTGCATTTTCTTATTTCCTCGAGAAGTCCCCAAAGAGGGGCCTCGGGAGGGCCCCGAACCCCCGAGCGGACGCACAGGCATTAGGGTTTAGGGTTTAGGGTTTAGGGTTTAGGGTTTAGGGTTTAGGGTTTAGGGGTTGGAAGGAGGATACGGAGAAAGAAGTCGCCATTTCAACTCCTTCAAGCCAGAAGACCAGACAAACCCTAAACCCTAAACCCTAAACCCTAAAAACACACCAGACAGGGTTGGGGCTGTGTTTACGGTGAACGGTTTAGGGTTTAGGGTTTAGGGTTTAGGGTTTAGGGTTTAGGGTTGCGTAGAATTAGGAAAGCCACTCAAGCTTCTCAAACAGAGAGTGTTAACTTATATCCAGAACCTCTAAACCCTAAACCCTAAACCCTAAACCCTAAACCCTAAACAGCTAGCAAGACAAGCTCATCGGGCGACGGAGCTTCATTAGGGTTTAGACAATTTTTATTTATTCATTTCAATTTAATTTAATTTATTTATTTTATTTTATTTATTTTATTTATTTTATCTTACTTTATTTATTTATTTTATTTATTTTATTTTATTTTTTGTTTCTCTTGCTGTTGCTGCGCTGACTGCTGGGGTAGGCCGAGCGCCTGGCTAAACCCTAAACCCTAAACCCTAAACCTTAAAGCCTAAACCCTAAACCCTAAACCCTAAACCCTAAACCCTACAGCCTAGGCTCTAAAAAATAAACCCTAAAAGCCAAAACCAAGTCACTACACCCCAGACTCCAAACCCCAAACCCAAAACCCCAAACCCTAAACCCTAAGCACCTAACCCTAAACCCTAAACCCTAAACCCTAAACCCTTAATAGTGCTTACGTGATAATCAAGTGTGGTTCCCGCTGCGAAGACAAGCGGTAAATCCTAAACCCTAGACCCTAAACCCTAAACCCTAAACCCTAAACCCTTAGCCCTAAACCCTAAACCCTAAAGGCCAAACCCTAAACGTTATCGCTAAAAGCTGGCGCCTAAACCCAGGCTTCATAAACAATAGCAACAAAAACCTAAACCCTAAACCCTAAAGCCTAAATCCTAAACCCTAAACCCTAAACCCTAACCCCTAAACCCTAACCACTAAGCCTTCAACCGGTTTCACGCGGGGTTCGCAGAGCGAGAACTCTTGTGCCCTAAACCCTAAACCCTAAACCCTAAACCCTAAACCCTAAACCCTCATTATGAAACTCGAGTTTTGGTCTCAACTCGTGTTACGCACACAAAAAGCCTAAATTAGGGTTTACGAGGGTTTTAAGATAATCCTCATCAAGCCTTATACCCTAGTTTAGGGTTTGCGAAGGGCCGAAAGAAGAAAAGGCTTGGCAACAAAATGCCTTTAGGGTTTAGGGTTTAGGGTTTAGGGTTTAAGGGTTTAGGGTTTACGTCTAGTGTTTAGAATGCACTCATTTGCTTCATGATGGTTTGCCCTCATCTGCAGTGGGTTTTATGATTTAACTCCTGGGGCTTAGGGTTTAGGGTTTAGGGTTTAGGGTTTAGGGTTTAGGGTGTAAGGTTTAGAATTTTACGTCTAGGGTTTAGGGCTTAGGGTTTAGGGCTTAGGGGTCACTAGAGAAGGTAAGCATCTTCTACAAGTTTAGGGTTTTAGGGTTTAGGGTTTAGGGTTTAGGATTTAGGGTTTAGGGTTTAGGCATTCTGCAGCTGCAGCAATAAGTTCATGAGCACCAAAAACAAAACACAAAACGAAATTAATTAAAATAAATAAATAAATAAATAAATAAATATATAAATAAATAAATAATAAACAAACAAACAAATAAATAAATAAATGAATAAATAAAAAATAAATAAATAAATAAATAGATAAATAAATAAATAATATAAATAAATAAATAAATAAGCTCAATCTAGCATTATAATAAGATGGTGTTTCTATAGGGGGTGTAGGGTTTAGGGTTTAGGGTTTAGGGTTTAGGGTTTGAGGTTTAGGTGTTGGACTTAAGGGTTTAGAGTTGGCTTGTTTCAGTTTTAGGGTTTAGAGATCACGAGGGTTTGAGCTTTCACGGGGTTTAGGGTTTACGAGGGTTTGTGAAAGATTAGGGTTTAGGGTTTATGAGGGATAAGGGTTTAGGATTTGTAAGGGTTTTCGAGGAGTCTTTAGGGTTTTAGGGTTTATGAGGATTTACAAGGGTTTAGGGTTTAGGGTTTAGGGATTTTAGGGTTTGCGATGAGATTGTAAAGCCATCAGAATATCCAATTCACGATTTCTAGGGTTTTAGGGTTTAGGGCTTACTTGGGTTTATGAGGGTTTAGGGTTTATGAAGGATGAGGAGGGTTTAGGGTTTAGGGTTTAGGGTTTAGGGACTAGGGTTTGGGGTTTGTGGAGGTTTGGGGTTTAGGTTAGGGTTTAGGGTTTGTGGAGGTTTAGGGTTTAGGGTTTGTGAGGGTTTAGGGTTTAGGGTTTGTGAGGGTTTAGGGTTTAGGGTTTGTGAAGATTTAGCGCTTCGGTGTGAAGGCCAAAGGAAAGCCCTGATTCTTAAGCTTCTAAGGATTCTAGGGTTTTGAACCTATTCATAGCCGTAAGCCCTAAACCCTAAACCCTAAACCCTAAACCCTAAACCCTAAACCCTAAACCCTAAACCCTAAACCAAGTTTAAAGCAGTTTCGATGTAAAATATTTCAACTAGTTTGACTCAAAAGCTCTTGAAAACAATCCTGCTGCTTTTAGCCGTCGGCGCTAAACCCTAAACCCTAAACCCTAAACCCTAAACGCTAAACCCTAAACCCTAAACCCTAGAAGACCACCACGCTGCTCCGAAATGAAAAATAAATCTGAAATTTAATTTTTAATTTCCTTTCGACTAGAATGAGTTCTTCTATTCCTCTGAAGTCAGTATCGACCCCAGGCCTAAACCCTAAACCCTAAACCCTAAACCCTAAACACTACACCGTAGCGTAAACCCTAAACCCTAAACCCTAGACGTAGTCAACAAATAAAAAAAGTGTTTTAAGAATTTAGGTTCATTTTTAACGGGGTTCCAGTTTCAGTATCGGGCATGGGGCACTCGAACCGTAAACCCTAAACCCCAAACCCTAAACCCTAAACCGTAAACCCTAGCCTGACGCTAAACCCTACACGTGACTCATATTTTCTTTTTTTTCTTTTTATTATTATTGGAACTACTTTTGTAGCACCAGGGTTTCAATTTCGGGGTTTAGGGTTTAGGGTTTAGGGTTTAGGGTTTAGGGTTTATGGTTTACGCGGGGCTGTCCCGAGAGTTAGAGCCCCTTCGAGCTGCAGCAGCAGCGGCGACAGCAGCAGCAGCTGCAGCAAATAAGGCAGCAGCGCCCAGTAAGGCAGCAGCAGCAGCAAAGAAGGCAGCAGCAGCAGCAGCAGCAACGGCAGCAGCAGCAGCAGCAGCAAAGAAGGCAGCAGCAGCAGCAGCAGCAGCAGCAGCAGCAATGAACAAACACAAGAAGCGCCGCGGTCTTGGCTCTGTGCTGTCTGCCCTGAAGCCCCCCTCCAAACCCTCAGCAGCAGCAGCAGCAGCAGCAGCAGCACCAGCAGCAGCAGCAGCAGCAGCACCAGCAGCAGCAGCAGCAGCAGCACCGGCAGCAGCAGCAGCAGCAGATGAAGGGTTTCCTGAAGCAGTTAGCCTCGACTGCGAAATGGTTGGTTGTGGGGAGGATGGAAGAATATCCATTCTGGGCAAGCAAACCCTAAACCCTAAACCCTAAACCCTAAACCCTAAACCCTAAACCCTAAACCCTAGCTGTGCTCTTCTGCCTGCTGCTATGTGGCCTTCAAGCAAACCCTCGTTTTAGCCGTAAACCCTAAACCGTAAACCCTAGCCCGTTTTCGTCTATCGCTGGAAGCTTTGTCGAGGGTTTCGCCGAAAACCCTGCAAGGGTTTAGGGTTTAGGGTTTAGGGTTTAGGGTTTAGGGTTTAGGGTTTGGGTGCAGCACAAGTTGCCCTCGTAAACGAAAAAGGCGAAACCCTCGTCAATGAATTGGTGAAGCCGCAGCTGCCAGTCACGGACTTGAGGGCCCACATAACTGGTAAACCCTAAACCCTAAACCCTAAACCCTAAACCCTAAACCCTAAACCCTAAACCCTGAACCGTGGGCGGCTGCGGCTGCGCCGCAGCGCCACGCTTTGAAGCCGAAACGCTAAACCCTAAACCCTGAAGAGTAAACCCTAGTTCGCGATGCTTACTCAGCAGCATCAAACCCTAAACCCTAAACCCTAAACCCTAAACCCTAAACCCTAGCCAGCTCCGCGCAGCGCCGAACTCCAAACCCTAAACCCTAAACCCTAAACCCTCAGTTGGTCCCCTAGCCGCTTCCGCTGCCCTTCTCAGGGAGCCCCCGCGCGAAACAAGGCCAGGGCTCGGGGCCTAGGGTTTAGGGTTTAGGGTTTAGGGTTTAGGGTTTAGGGTTTAGGGTTTGGGGTTTAGGCCTGGACCTCCGTTCTTTAAACGAAAGGGGGATATCTTTTGCTGCTGCTCAAAAATTAATTAAAAGCAAAATTGAAGGAAAGATTCTCGTCGGCCACGCCGTGCACCACGACCTCCAGGTTTGCTGCTGCTGCTGCAGTTGCTGCTGCTGCTGCTGCTGCTGCAGGTGCTGCTGCTGCTGCTGCTGCTGCAGTTGCTGCTGCTGCTGCTGCTGCAGTTGTTGTTGTTGCTGCTGCTGCAGTTGTTTCTGCTGGTGCTGCTGCAGTTGCTGCTGCTGCTGCAGTTGCTGCTGCTGCTGCAGTTGCTGCTGCTGCAGTTGCTGCTGGTGAAGTTGTTGTTGTTTTTGCTGCTGCTGCTGCAGTTGCTGCAGTTGACGATGCTATGGGTGCTGGTGCAGTTGCTGCTGCTTTGCTGCTGCTGCGTTCTCGCGCTTCAGCAGCAGCAGCTGCTGCTGCGTGAACGTGCTGCTGCTGCGTGTACTTGCTGCTGCTGCAGCGTGAACGTGCTGCTGCTGTGTTCACTTGCTGCAGCTGCTGCATGCAGCAGCAGCTGCTGCTGCTGCTGCACCCGCCTCCTGCTGCTGCCTCGACCTGCCGCTGCCGCTGCCCCAGCTGCTGCTGCTGCCCCAGCTGCTGCTGCTGCTGCTGCTGCTGCTGCTGCTGCTGCAGGTGCTGCACCTGAGCCACCCGCTGCACCTGCTGCGGGACACCAGCAAGTACCGGCCGCTGCAGCAGCAGCAGCAGCGGGGTGTACGTACACCCGGGCTGAAGCAGCTCGTGCTGCAGCACTTCCAGCAGCAAATCCAAGTGGGATCGCACGATCCCACGGAAGACGCAAGAGCTGCCATGAGTCTTTATTTGAAGTGCAAGCAGCAGTGGAACAGGCGCTACGCTGCTGCTGCTGCTGCTGCTGCTGCTGCTGCTGCTGCTGCTGGTGGGGGGGTGGCCCC